TCACTAACACCTCTTCCTCAAGAAACAAGGGAAATTAACTGCCCAAAAACATGGTTAATGCAGGTCTTGTTTACACTACAGTGCCTTTGCCAGTATAGCTATGCCAGCTAGACTCGCCCCTGCTTAGTACCCTCTTCAACTCAAGAAATGTGTTTCAGATTCCTGCTGGCACTGCCAGTCTGATGTGCTTTCTCTGGCTTGTCAGATTGGGGTTATATCTGCTGCTGAACCACAGCGCCTCATTAGACTGCTTCCCAGGCTGGTGAACCAACTGTGGTTCATTAATTTTATATCGGTGTAGCTCCACTGATTTCATTGGGATTGCTCCTGATTTACATTGCTACAAGTGAGGAGAGAATCAGGCATAGGCACCAACTCCGTGGTGCTCCAGGGCTCAACACCCATGGAAAAAAATAGTGGGGGTGGTCAACATCTGCCAGCCACAGCTGTTCAGCGGGGCCACTGTTCGGCAGCTGCATGGGGCCTCAGGAGTGGGGGCAGGAAGAGTCGGAGTGTGGGTGGGACCTCGAGGGAGGGGGTGGAGTGGAGGTGGAGCACCCACCTGGAAAAATAAGTCAATGCCTATGGAAGGTCATGCTATAGGCAAGGGGATAGAAACTAACAACACAGTCTGTTGAATACAATGCTCCCTTAAGTCTGACCATGCAACATGTACTTGCATATGGGGCTGGAATAGGCGCTATGTGGAAGGGTAAAGGATGCAATTTCAGGCGTTACAGGGCAGGCCAGCAAAGATTTCAGCTTTTCTCCACCTATGGGCAGCAGAAAGGTATGCCTGGGAATCCTGGACTTGTACATTTAGTTTCCTGTGATCGTTAAGAGATGAAGTGCAGGTTTCTCAGTGCAAATGCAATGGGGGAGAGAAGCAGTGACGACCATTCTCAAGAAGATAAGAGAAGATAATGACTCTTGTCCCACCCCACCCTCAAGCCTCTGCTGGTCTTCTAATCAAACAGCCAGCCCCAGCAGTATATCTGGTATCTAGGCACCCACTTTCTAATCTGTTCATCCTTCTGAGGGACATGAATGTGCTTAATGCTCATAACTGAATGAGTCACTAACTGAAAATGCTCTGTAAAGGTGACTTGCCAAGGAAAAATAAATAGAGGTCTGTCTTTTTGCTGCTTTGAGATAAAGAAGGCCTCAGGTTTTTAAATATTTTTCATGCTTGTTTGTCATCTTAGTATCGGGACCACCAAATCTGTTTTTTCTGGAGGTCTCAGATGTGAATTAAGAGCTTTCCAATCATGGGGAAGTGTTGCTAAATCTTAATAGAGAACTCTTTTCTCCCATTTGTTTTTAGGTTGTTTGGGTTAAATAGAGGTTACAGTTGGAATAAAATTCCATTTCCCCTCTCAGCTAATCAGCTGTCACTTCCTTGGTGTTTGCTATAATACATCAATTTCTCCAAAGATCCATAGTGCTTTCCAGTGTAGAGAAGATACATATTGTATAGATGTTATGGCCAGAAAGGGCCATTGTGATCCAGGCAGGAGATTATCACCCTTTGATTTCACTGTCAAGTCCAATAATTTGTGGTTGCATTACAAGATATCTCTGTAGGAAAAGATTTCCAATCTGGATTTAAAGACTCAAGTGCTGATGAATTTATCCCATCCCTTGGAAAGCAGTTCTGGGGGTTAATTTCCATCCCTGTTAAACGTGTGCTTTTTTTTTCCCAGGGTGAATTTTTCAAAAATCCGCTTCCTAGTATTTCTAAAAACAGAAAAACCTTCCTTAGCGGTGCCTCACTCCATCCCAGAGAAGGACCCACGGCCAGTTCTCTTCTTTTGCAAGTCACTGTTTGCTAGAACAGATTGAAAACTGGCTTCTTCCAAAGTGTTGCATTACCATAACACTACTCGAGCTTGCAGCTTCCTTCCTTCCCTCTTTAAGACAAGTTGCGGTCACAAAACTTGGAATTGACCTGCCCTTTTTCTTCCTTTCCAGGGGTCTCTGCACACCCTTCTGCTGAAGTCAGCTCTCATATAGTGGAGGATGCAGCTGAACAGCCGGTGCTTCAGGGGCCCAGAACTCCTTGCCCTGGCATGAGAGAGCAGGTTGTGGCAACTCCACAGTCCAGTTTAAGGTTCTTGACTAGCAAGCCAGTCTCCTCGGTCAAGTTACAAGTTGTCCCCGTGCCCAGGTAAGAACCTGTAACCTGCAGTTCAAGCTGCTCTTAGCCCTGCTGTTGTATACTGTTCCTCACTTCCAGTGATCAAACCTTTCTACCTGTTGCCATCAGCCAGCATGTCACTAGCCAAGAGATCTGCCATGCTTCTGCCATCAGTATGTGGGGTCATGGGGCGGGTGTTTGGCTTCTTGTCTTGCTCCTGAGCTTTGCAGAGTGTTGATCCTGCAGTGTCTTGATTATGGCTGCAACTACATCAGCCCTGAGGTCTGTCTTGCTTATTTCTAGGTCAGCAAAATGTGGGGAAGACCTTAACAGGATGGTGGACAGGGGTGGCAGAGCTGTGGTAGCCCTGATTAGTGATTTTTTTTAAGGGGGAGATTGATCTGAAGGAAGCCTCAGTGAAGGGATCCATGTTGTAGCCTTTCAGATGGGCGTGAGCCTTTCATTGTGGGTAGGGGAAATCCTCCCCAAACCTCTCCTGCTTTATAGTGCTGGGTCTTTGTCCAGGGTCTATGTGTGGGAGACCAGACCAGGGCAATGGGACTCTTCAACCAGCCAAGCTTCTGCTAAGTGGCTCTTTCTCTTCTACTCTTTGCAGAATGAAGGGACTGTCTGATATGCAAGACTTGAAATTCTTAACCCCGGTGCGGCGTTCTCTGCGGATAGAGCATGCCATATCCCGTTACCCAGAGATGCTGAAGGAACATGACACCGTAGTGTCTTCCCTTGATGAAATAATGGCCATGGAGGATGTGAGCCAGATTGTGTTTCGTAAAAATGAGGCCCTGCTGGAAGAGGAGGAGCTGGAGCTTTAGGCTGGTGGTGTCCACAAGCTTCATGGCCTTCTGTTATGGTTTCCTCTGCCCGGGGTGAAAGTAACCTAAAGGACTTACCGGTACTCCAGAGTCCTGCGGAGGGGGAAGCCCCCTGCACCCCAATCAACGCTGACAGCACCCCCCCACCCCATTGACACTAACACTGTGCCCCCCACCAGCTGACGGGATGCCCCAGGATAATCAGCGAGGGCACGCAGGGCTGCACTTATTTATACGCTACAATACAGGGCATTCGCTGGCCACCCCACCCCCCGGAATCCTACTTGCATCTGGTCTGATTCTCGACCTGATCCCTGCCCCGTGGGGGACCAGCACTTCTGCCCCCATCCAGAGATCTAGCCCCATGGCCGGCCGGGCTCAGACAGGCCCCTGAGATGATGCTCCCCGGCTGGGCCTTTTGTCCCGAGCTGCACTACCCAAACCTTGGGAGTTTTCCAGATAAACCCAGTGCAACCTGAGTCCCTCAGCATGAGGCTTCCTCCCTTTCCAGGAAGGGGACGACCTTCCCCATGCCCTTCCCTGGAATGTCTCCCCCGAGCGCCCAGGGCAATATACACCACATTCCTACATGTTTCCCTAAATCTCCTGCATGTTTCCACTGCCCCCCAAAGCTGGTGGCTCAGCTGTGCTCACAGCTGCCCAGTCACTCAGGCCGTGGGGATGGAAGGTAACAATTGCCCCGGCCCAGCGTCTGGTTGGAAAGAAAACACGCTGGCTAAAAGTATCCCCTGCCTGGCAAGCAGTGGAAGTTGCCTGACTAAAGGGGAGGCCTGTAAATATACTGGGGTAAATGTGTAATTGCCTTTCTACAGTGTTACTACTCTTAATAAATGTACATACCCTGTGACACAGTATGACCTAGTGCATTGCATACTGGCCTGGGACACAAGGTAGCTGTTTTTGGCTCTACTCCTGACCTGCTGGGTGACCTTGAACAAGTCACTTCACCTGTCTGTGCCTCAGATCCCCCATCTATAAAATGGGGGAGAATAATACCGACCTTTGTAAAGTGCTGTGAGCTCAATGGATGGAAGAGCGCTATCTAAGACCGAGGTGGTGGTACTGTGATGAATAAATTAATGCTGAATACTTTGAGCCATTGAATAGCAGAATAGCAGGGTCCTGATGAGCCAAGAGGGGACACCAGAGCAAAGCAAAGACCTTGCAAAGAGGCCCTGGGCTCTAATCCCACCACATGAGCAGGGCTTCTCAGCACAACTAATGTTGGCACTTCCAATAGCCTTGTGCCTCTTAAAAGGGTGCAGGAAAACTCTCAGGATTTGACTTGGAGCAGCTGGTTTGGCTGCAGGACCTCCCACTGCCACAGCAGTGCAGTATTTCAGTGACCAGTGAGGAAACTTCTTCCAACCTCGGGGTGACTAAGTATTTCTAAAGCATCTTGTCTGCTCAATACATGCATGGTCCCAGTCTCCACACTGAGTTGGGGGACACATCAGACCCTCTCCCCCCAAAGACAGTACCCAGTGGTCTTACTTTGTAGTGTCTTTAATTTAAAAATATATATATACAATATCCTTAAAATTTCTCCCACCCTAGTCAAATTCCTCCATACTCAAAGAGCTGCCTGTGTGCTTTGAGCCATGAAAGTCAATGCAGGAGCAGCTCTGCACACAGTCTAGGGTGCTCAGACCTAAAGGAACCTCCATCCCCCCCCCCCCACACACACACACACCACCACCACACACACACACACTGTATTCTCCATCCCCTTCTACCTATGGATGTAGGGCCCTCTCAGCACTATTGCAGGGAGAGCTGGTATATACACTTGGATGCTGCTGTGATCTGGATGCCTGTTCACTCTGAGATGGTCTTTGCACCACTCTGGTAGCTGACTTGATTTAAATTTACAATCAGGAACTTTCTGCCCTGCTCTGGAAGGCTGCAGTGCTAGGGCACACCTGCATTTCCAGTGGATCCATCATTTAGCACCAAAGGGAAGAAGTATGGAGCTTGTGACTTTAAACTTCAGTCAGGTTTGAGCCTTATTGGGACAGTTTGGATTCTTTTATTCCCTGAACAGACCTAGGACAACCTTCATGCACAAGCCTTTAAAAACGGTACTCCGTTTGTGGGAGGGGGTTGGGCACTATCAAGCATCCCTGCTGATATAAATGCAGTAGGGCTGCAGAGAGTTTCCTGAAGGAGGAGCTGGGATCCCAGCTCAAAAGAAATCTAGCTATTCAATTTATACTGAATGAGAGTTCACATTGCCTTGTGGGGGTGTGGAGGCAGAGGGCACAGACCAGCACTGCCTGCTCCAAGCCCTAGCATCCAGGTTCAGCCACAATCCCCAGGGAATCAGAGCTTTCTTTTCCCATCCCATGTAAGAGCAGTGGAATCGGGCAGGGTCACTAGCTCCTGGCTTGTAAGGGGTGAGAATCTGACTCCAGGAACCCCACCACTGTAGTAGACACACACAAAGCAACTGCTACATGCGTCAACCTAGCAAAGGAGAAATCAGTGGGGACTGGACGAGAAACTAGCATACCACAGACTTCTAGTGCACCAGCAGTGGCCTCTTACCCTTCCCTGGCTGCTAAAGGCCTTTCTGCCTCAGAGGCAGTTGAGGGGATACCTGGGCATGAACTGTCTCCACTGAATCAATCAGTCCCTGGAGGAAAATGCAAACAACTGCTGGATTCCAAAGGGCCCCCTTAGGCACTGGTGGCTAAGGCTAGACTGGCAGGGATAGTTGGCATGCAGTGTTTCTTTTCAGAACACTCTCCCGTTTCACAGGATTTTGATGCCTCAGAAAAATGCTTTGTTCTGGGTTTGGCGGCTGCCGTCCAGTCAGCAATCAGCCCGTGGCCCGGCTCAGTCATCGTCGTCGTCCTCAGCCTCGTCAGTGTCCTGAAAAATGCCTCTGAGGTTCTGGAATGAGAGACGGTTGCACTGCCTGAGAGCTGTGTCCACGTCACTGCTGTTCTAAAACCCCATTCTCACGGAGTAGAGGCTGATCCTGCCCTTGGACACAAGACCTGCCCAACTGCTAGTTCTGGTTTTCCAAACTCTAGAGCCACCACTTCCCTGCTGTGCCCTGTGTGTCCTTACTCAGCAGCAGGCAAGGGCCTCCAAACTCTCCGCTGCGCTTTTCAAGGTGACACAGCAAGCCTGATGTACAGCTGCTCTGCAGCAGTGAGGGAATGCTGGGCTGGAGGCTGTGCGCATTCCTGCTGCAGCCAGGCTGCTGCTGGAGACACAGCCCACAGTGGAGCCCTGCACAGGACTATATTTTTAATGCCACTCCTCACTTCATTTAAGTATTAAAACTCTAGCCCACAGCCACACTGGATCCAGGGCAACCTGCTATATTTGCCCCTCAAATCTGGGGGGAGAGCTTCAAGTTTTCTGAGTTACTGAACATTTAAAGGACAAAAGGCAGCAAATCTGAGCTGGGTTGCAACATCTCCCCAAGCCATGAGCATGGGCCTGTGTAAGCTGAGCCAGCAGCATCTGGCTAACCTGATTTGATTTGTGTGTATGATGCACCAAGTGAAAAAGGAGATCAGGGAGGTAGTACAAGGCCTGGGTCACTAAGCCCTGCAGTGCTCAGCTTAAAGCTTTGCTGGAGAACTACAGTGACGGACACTAAAGAGCCCAAAGAGAATTGTAGCTTCCTGTCTAATCCAAAGGCAGCCAGTGGCCTGACTTGAGTACTAGAGGCAATTGGCTGATTTCCTCCTGCTCCGCTGCCCCATCGATCTCACGTTACTGGCTGTGAAACAGTATTTCTGCAAAGGTGGAGGCACAAGCATTTCCCACAGGGTGTGGGCAGGGAGCATTTCTTCAGGTGCATCACAGCCTTTGCAGCTCCTGGCTCCCATCACATGACCTGGCCTGAACCCCCAAATCATCTTGGCTTGTGAGGGCAGGTTGGAGTGACACTCCAACCCATTCTAATTAGGAACAGGCTGCCTTCAGTGCACCATCCCCTGGCTTTTAATTAGGAGGGATATTTGCATGAAAACAGGATATTTCCTGCTCTGGCTGCTTTTCCACACCAGGAGCGGGACTAAGGCAGTTTGAGGCCCCTGTCATGCAGATGGCTCAAAGGAGCCCAGCACCCAGGACATCCCCAGCAGTCTGAGTGGGGTGGCTGCAAGCTGGCTGGCGCCATAGCTTTAAGGAAGCCCAGCTGCAGATGTAGCAAGGGCATGGCCCTGTCTGTGGTTGCTCTGCCAGCCTGCCCCTGGGGTCAGTCATTGTGCTGGGAGGTTGGTGCTGCCTGTTAGGAGACAGACACAGCACGTTCTCAGAGAGAGCACTGGGGCTCAGCCCTTGTTGCTTTACCTGAATGGAAGGGGCGAGGGCTGAAAGCTGGGAGTGTGTAAGGGTCTAACTTGGCTCAATGACTTGTTTGCTCACTGACAGCTGCCTTGGCCTCGCTGTGCTGCAGTACCCATTGCCAGAGAACAGGCCCAGCGGGGCTACCTGGGCAGAACAGTTGCAGGCATCATTACCGGCCAAGTGCTGTGCAAAAGCCCAACTCGGTGAGGTCCAAGAGCCAAGATCCAAATGCATCTGATCAGCTCAGAGAGCAGATCCCG